GACAACATTTTTGAAGAGATAATGTATTTGTCAAGCAACTACAAGATCTCTTGGCGCAATGCTTTCAGTGAAGCCAATTCTGAAGCTGACTGCTTGGCCAAAGAAGGGGCTCTCCTTAGTTCTTCTTCTTTGGCTTTTCCGCCTTTAGTTTGCTTTGGCCTCTGTGTTTTGGCCTTTCTTTTTGGTCCCTTTTTGGGCTTGTTTGGTGTGACCACTGCGGTCACCACCCTTTGTAATGGCTATTGTGAAATATAAATATAGTGAACTTCTCTAAAAAAAAAGTTGTGATCCAAATCTATATGACAAAATGCCTCTTTTGTGCTTGCATATTGTACTTACACTTTAGTTATACCCAGATGGAAAATGAAAAACTGCACACATTTAGTGGAATTATGTTTATAATTATTGCCTTATGCACATGGCAACAGCTCTTCATGTTTTACATTGTATCATTCTGATTTTTCTTTTTTTTGTAATAAAACAACGTAAGAAATCTCAGGGTGGTTCTCCTTCAAAATGGCAAAGTAGCAAAAAGTATTTCCTGTTTTAGTATCATGATTTATATATGAACTGATATACTGTCATTGGATATGAACTAGCCTTGAGACAAGTGGATACTTGGTAAATCAGTACTTTTTTTTTTAAATGTGTAATTCCGAACTGGTGTTTGAATTTTAAGAGTGACCCTTGGAACTGAATTTATAGTGACCCTATTTATGAGACTGTAGTTTAGCATAACAAATATGGCATCTTGGGTAGAGTGGAATAGACTTTTGCAATTGCATTGATTCCGTTGGTTAATTCAAAATTCTATCAAATTTCAATGCAGGGCATGAAATAGGTTGAACCTGCGGTTGATGCTGCTATATGCATAAAACCTGATCACTGCCTTCAGCATAATTGGAAAAGCCATCCTGCCCAAAATTCTTCAAAAGAAATTTCTTGAAATTCATGGGTTAGAAATGTTATTTGTTTGCTTACTAACTAGTGTTAAAAAATGGGGCTGCCTGGCTGCCTAGGTGGCCTTGGCAGGCCACCGTAGGGACCTAGCAGGCTATGTGCCTGTTTGCCTAAGACTTACCAGGCACCCGCCTGCACCTAGGTGCCTCAACATATTGTTAAAACTTGGTTGACATATAGGGTAAATGTGTTAAGAAGAGAGACCACATTAACTGTTAGGAGATTGATACCTATGAGACGAACTGCATTAAATGTGTGGAGATTGACCCCTTGGAGAGAGAGACTGTGTGTGCGTTAAATGTGAGACAAGAGATGGGGTATTATTAAGGAAGTGTGAGAGGACCGTGGAAAGAGACTACATTAGATGTGAGGAGAGAAGTAGAGAGATGGGATTTATTAAAGAAGATAAATGAGTGAGGACGATGAGTGCATAGATGTCAATCTCCTGCTTTAAAGGAGAGAGAGGCTTGCATTAAACGTGAGAGAGAGAGAGACACATGCATTAAGTGTCCGGAAAGAGAAAAAGGGGTATTATTAAAGAAGCTTGAGACGACATTGGTGAGAGACTGCATTAACTGAGGAGAGATGTAGTATAAATAAAGAGGAAAACAAGAGGTAGGCGAGGGTAAAGTTGTCAATCTCTCTGCCTATATGTGAGGAGAGATGACAATTCTTTTCCAAAAACCTAATACACTCATGCTCATTAAAGAAAATGATATATTTTCAAACGTCCCCCTTCTTTGGGCCTCCTAGGAAATTAGGTACCTGCCTAGGTAGCCAAATCTGAATTTTTCAACACTGATCAAACAATGAATTGTTTATAGTTTTCACTACTTGATTTCCTGCATGATTTCAATTCAATCATAAATTGTTCTGATTGGCTATCATTTGTTAAATTGTAGATACTATTTTGCTGGATGTTTTATCCGATCCCCCCTATGGAATTATGTAATGACCACTTTTTTATGGAGGGCTTGCATTGCAATTGATGTGTGGAGAGCGAAGAAACAACTAAGCAATTTGGTATTTAAAGGCATTTCCATGAATGACAGTGTTGTTTACGGGGCGGTCAAAGTTGCGTTGTGCGGGGATGGGATTCACCTGGCAAACAAAGCCAGCCAGCCCTACCAGTTTAGGAATACGAAGGCCTTTCCTTCGAAAGGGGGAAAGAAAGAGCTATGCTATTGACTGACCCTTTCCCTTTCGTAGTGTTATTTTGGAGTATAGAATGAATCATTAGTTGAGTGTCTTGGATGCTAGTTCTGCATGGTGTTAGGACAAAATTTTGAAAATGTTGGCTTGAGGTGGGTGGTTAGCAGCTTTAGATCTCACCGCTGCCACAAGTTTGAAACATCCCACCCCACTCTGGTTGATATTGGTTGTATCTTAATGGAGATCCAAATGGAACCTGTGGGCTTTGTATTCAGTTGATGGCTGGGGTTCATGTAGGACAGGGATATTATGCCGGACTTCATTTGATTTTTTACTACTCTTGGGCTTGTCCTCAGGCTTCCTCCTTTTTCTTTTGGGTACAAAATGTCGAGAAACCTTTTTGAATGTTAATGTACAATGCCTAAGTGTTGAATGTGTCTTTGAGTGGAACGAAACTGATGAAAAATATGCAGAGATGCAGTTTTAGCAGCATTTCTATATTTGTTGTTTAATTTGATGTAGTTAACAAAATCAATATCTTTATGAAGAACTCAGAAGAAGATAGCCTTGTTAGCCTATCATGCCAATGGTATATTTTTCCGTACTTCATGAGGCGTTAAGTTTAGTGGGTATCTTGTGGCCTATATGCTTTTTGTACTATGGATGGATAATCACTCAATTTTACAGATGAGCTCATAGCCACATGATGATCATATCATCCTGACTTTTGCCTCCTTGAGTAAAAAAGAACACCGGGTTATGGATGTATGCTTATTCTTGTTCTGCAAATTGTTTCTTAGATTTGCCTTTTCCTCTCTTGGTTCCATGCATAACCCCTAGTTTGCCTTGATTTTTTATTTTATAATCTTGCAGGCATTTCACTTGTATGTAAAATCTAGATGGCTCCTGCAAAAGTCCTGTGTAAATTATTTTTCCGCTCAATTGGAGGACAGAGTTGGGGGGGATCTTTTCTAACAAGAAAGTTGTAATCTATTTTTCGGAAATCAGTAGTGCATGTTGCATTGTGGTCTATTTGGCTGGTTACTCACAATATAGCTGTGAACTTCTCTTCTATGTAAACTTTAGATGACATCCTAACCTCCAGATTTACAGTGTTGTTTCTGAAGCATAATGCCTCCAATCTTTTGCTTTTGCCATTGTTGAATTGTGGTAATATATGAGTTACTACTGAATAGAAGGCAATTGATGATTAGTACAAGGAAGTCATACTTCCAAGTTATTCTTCTGGTGACCTTGGGATGTCATTGATAACTTACTTTTGATTTGTTTCTTTCTCTTTAGAAGTAGTGGACACATTATTTTATCTTTAAGAATCTGTTATTCACCTTTCTGTATGGTCGCTCCACATATAACATGCTCTGAATACGATGCAAAATCACCCCCCATAACTAGTTAGCTAATATGCATTGCAGGGCTGCAGCCTTCGGAATACTGAGTACATTGTTGGAGCTGTCATTTTTACAGGACATGAAACAAAGGTTAGATTTTTATGCTAGCAAATAATTTGAGTGTTTTGTTTCCAGTTTTTCACGACTTAAATGATTCAAGCTGGTCATTAGATAACAAATTCCAGTTTTGTCGCATAATTTTCACTGGCATTAAATTTTTGTCCAGGTTATGATGAATGCTATGAATGTTCCTTCCAAACGGAGTACCTTGGAGAGAAAGCTTGACAAACTTATACTGATGCTTTTTGGTGTACTTTTTGTTATGTGTTTCATTGGAGCTATTGGCAGGTATTCTCCTGTCCCTGTGGCTTCTTTCAAGAGAGCAACTGAGTTATTCTGTTTTTCTTCATATCTTACCCTTAGTTAGGGTGGTAAATTACTCAATTTGGAAAATGCAGAATTTTTTAATTTACGGAATGTGATTTTTCCTCAAGGCTGTTCTGTAGGAGAGGATAGCCTTTTGTGATTCTAGTTATGCTTTATCTGAGCTAAATTTATTTTTTTTTCTCTTTATTTTTTTTAAACATTTAACATGGCCTATTGATTTTCTCCCATCTTTCAGTGGAGTTTTTATCAACCGTAAGCACTACTACTTGGGTCTCAATGATCGTGTAGAGGATCAGTTTAATCCTAACAACAGATTTGTGGTAAAAATTACTCCTGTTAGCCTGTTATACTCTGTTGAACTGATTGTGCCATTAAATTTTATAATCTTGCCATTTGGTCTACAAAACTGAATGCCCTCTTCTATTTCTTGCACAGGTTGCTATTCTCACCATGTTCACTCTCATTACATTGTATTCCACCATTATTCCCATCTCACTTTACGTCTCAATTGAGGTTGTGGTTATATCTTTGACCAGTGTGATAGTCTCCTTTGCAGTTTTAACATAATTTGCCGTGCTGATTGATATTTTTATTAATATTCTTTTCCTTGATTCAGATGATTAAATTCATTCAGTCTACTCAGTTTATCAACAAGGATCTGAATATGTATCACAGGGAAAGCAATACCCCTGCATTGGCACGGACCTCCAACTTGAATGAAGAGCTTGGACAGGTGCTTTTGACTTTTGATGCTCTGCGTTTGCTATTTCAGCATCTAGGAATGAGAACTGGTTCTTGTAATTTAGACTAACTTCATTCATCAAAACATTGGCTACTTTGGGCTTTTCTGTTAATGTATGTTCTTTGGCATAATTCATCAAAAATTTGAGGGACCTCAATACAAAAGTTTTTTCACACATATGGCAGGTTGAGTATATATTTTCTGACAAGACAGGAACTCTAACGCGAAATCTGATGGAGTTCTTCAAGTGTTCCATTGCTGGAGAGGTTTATGGTCATGGAATTACTGAAATAGAAAGCGGAGGAGCACAAAGAAGTGGTTTGCGAATTGATGAGGTGTGGCTACATGATTGCTTATGAAGTAGAAAGTTATATTATTCTCTGTATACGTGTCATTTAATTATTTCATTTTACCTAGTGTTTTTCAGACAAAAAAATCAAGTACTGCAGTGCATGAAAAGGGTTTCAATTTTGATGATGCAAGGCTTATGCGTGGTGCGTGGAGAAATGAGCACGATCCTGATGCTTGCAAGGTTTGTGTTTGAGGCAAGTGGAACATTGTATGTCTTTAAAACATTATTCTCTTGTTCTATGTTCTGGCTATTCTCTCTCTCTCTCTTCTCTCTCTTCTTTCTCCCTCTTCCTTCAACTCTCATCTTCACTTCTGTTTCTTCTCTCTTCTCTCTTCTGATTCTCTTTCTCTCGTCTCTCTTCCCTTCCTCTCTTCCCTCTTTTCTCTCTTTTCTTTCTTCTTTCCCCTTCTTCTCTTCTTCTTCTTTTCTCTATTTCTCCTCTTTATATCTTCTTTCTCATTCTCCTTCTATTTTATATCTTCTCCCTCGTCTCTTCTCTTTCCCCTCTCTCTTTCATCGCTCTCTTCTTCTTCTTCCTTTCTCTATTTACCTAAGGTAGGTTAAGTATTAACACTCG